TACATTATCAGAATACTATTTGCATTAAAGCACATTGTAAAATTGACATTAATATAAATGGAATATTCTTGGCCAGCAACATAAAAAGTAACCTAAATCAGATCCAATGGAAGTTTGGATGCAAGGACTGGGATCAAGACCACACTGTTCTGTTTAGGCAAGTTTCCATTGTTTCCACTGTTCTGTGTAAATGTACAGTCTTCTACCCCCCTCTTAATGGTAATTTTAAGGATTATATGTGTTAAATGACATTTGGTAACTCATATCTGTGATTCGTATGTAAGTCTGACCTTTTTAAGTCTATTTAATGTTAATATTAACACAATGTCTCTTGTCTGTTTACTCACGTTTATGTCTGCCCATTGTGACGTATTGTATTGTGAATGTAACAGATTTTATTAGATTTGTTCATCGTAACTATTTTATATAGTGAAAACAACTCAGCCTCCAAATATAAGAGTATTTATAACAACTATTTAATTGAGTGTGTACAAACATGGACTGTTGCTACCATAAAGTTTACATTATGTACTACAGACTTAATTTCATTGACGCCAAAAAAAAAAAAGCCAAACACTGAACCTAATCTTTCTTAGGCCTAATATAGTGTACATGTGCACTAAATTAGACCTAAAATAATGCATATTAAGTCTAGAGTTGGTTATTTAGACCTGGTTATGTTAGATTTTTCAGTTATATTTCAGTTTTTAGCATGCTTTTTCGGCTGATGCAATAATACAGAATGTAAACTTTTTGTGTCCAACGGTCAATTTATACATTTGACCAAATAGCTGCTATAAGTACCATCATCATTATTGGAGGAACTTTGTGAACTTTGGCAAGTTGAGTGTGCTTTGTGACCCTTGGTGCCTTAACTCCTCCCAGTCTTGCTGACCTTACCTCTGTATCTGACCTTGGGTGCCTTAACTCTTCTGGGTCTTACTGATCATACCTATATATCTGACCCCAGGGTGCATTAACTCTTTCCAGTCATACTGACCGCACCTTTATATCTGACCCCGGGTGCCTTAACTCCTCCCAGTCTTCCTGACCTTACCTCTATATCTGAAGCACTCGCTTATTTCTACATTCAAGTGTTTAATTGGAAAAAATAAATTGTGAATGCTAAATAATGAGTATTTATATATAGTAAATTAAACTAAAAGAAGGGAGGGAGGGGGAGAAGAAAATGGGGCGATGAAGGGAAAGTGGTGGCATTAAAGAAGGGGGAAAGGAGGTGGTGGTATAGAAGAGGAGGGGAGAGAAGAAATGGAGGTGGAGGGGGGAGGAAATGAAGAAGAGGGGGGGGTGAGTAAGGTGATAATTTAGATGAAAAGGAGATAGAAGAGGAGGACAGGAGAGGGAAATGATAAGTAGGAAAGAGGAGACAAGAGAAGGGGGTGAGTGCGGGAAAGTCGGATGTACTAAGCCGTCAGAAATGGAAAATATGTGGTGTACAGGTCATTCCTGCACTGGAAATAAGTCACAGGACATTAATGATTGATCTCTGTACAACATCTTGGTTAGCATAATGTAGAATGTTACATTTAATAAAAAAAATATACGATCCTCTGTTGCGTTCTCTGGTTTCTGGAGACGAGGGCACGTTGTCCTCTTTTGCTTTTTGTATTTCACTTATAAGTGATTGATAAGCTGCAAGATATGAATGAACAATTTTATACAATTAAATTTTTATCTGAAAAATTCCATATGTTTTTGGTATAGATTTGAGTGATGTATATATATTAACCCTTAAACTGCTCCTGTTGCCCCCCAAATGATAGACCGATGATGCTCCTGTTGCTTGTGGGAGATTTAATGTGTCGCATAATATTAAAAATTCCTAAATATTCTATGTGCATGTCATTTGGCTTTACCGACCTCTGACAGTCATTTGCCATAATGGAAAAAAATCCTGAAAGCCTTGGGTATCTCCCTGGGCATTTACAAAAATTGGCATCATGTCAGGTGAATCACCATCCATTTACTGGTCATCTAAGCTAGACACCATTGATGCCATGTAAAATTTTGAAAAATTTATGGAACAGGACGGCACTTGGGATGAGAAATCTATTGCAAATAGTCTGCTTGAAAATTAATGATCAGAATTTGACATTTTCAAAATTTCTTCCTCACTATGGCCAAACTAAAATATTTAAATTTTTTTACCAACATTAGAAGAGGAAGGAGAAAGAATTTTGTAAACAAAATTTTATGTGCATCAGAAAATTTATCTGAAAATGGGTGCACAGTTTGAGGGTTAAACCAGACCCTGATGTGATTTTTTTCTATATAAAATTGAAGATCTGTATATAAAAGAAAAGGGAAAAAAAAGTCAAATACCTACTTTTGTGATGACCTGGTGATGTTTGTACTATCGATCATGGAAATATAGTCTTCACTAAAAGCCTTTAAAAATCTGTGTGTACATATGAAGTTAGAAATCCCTGTGTAGTAGGAAGGAAAAAATTATATACAGTATAGTACTGTACTGTATATTTTCGTTTGTTAGACTGATAAACACACGCTGTCAACTGATACGCTGCCAACAGCTGTAGATTGAAATTAGAGCTAGTCTGTATTCAAACAGTGGGACATCACATCAGTTGATGTATCGGGGCAACAGTAGAACGTGTAACGAACACATCATATGATGTGTTCCATAACATACGGGGTTATGAAAAGTTCACTGGGAGAATTTATTGTGTTTACAAGACTTTTACACATTATATAATTTCATGTTTCTTCCATGTTCTATATTTAGTATAGTATACTGTACAGTAGATCATTGCTGTTCATGGATTTTTTGATTTGTAGTTTTGGCTATTGACATTTAGCAGTGCAGTACTGAACTCATTTTTCAATTATTTGATTTTAAATACTAGTAGTTTCATACAACATTTTATTAATTATTTAAATACTTAGTCAATGAATAGTACTGTAATAATCCAAAATATATCATTTTACTCAGACATTCACTGTAACATACCACCATCATTGAACCCAGTCACTTCTACACTAACCGTACAGGACCTAATTGCACTACAACCTAATTAGATACATATAAGTGTAATTTGCTTCATGTACACAGATCCTTTCCCAAGGCCTACATCCACCCCCCCCCCCTACATACATTCACAACACATACACATATACATCAACAACAAGAGGTCATAGATTCAAATTTGGAAAACAAAGGTACCAAATTATCATATAAATTTTCTGCAAACAATGTAATACATGTGAAAAAAATAATTAGTGGGTAATATTTGCCAACATGAACAGGAGCTTCAAAACTTTATATAATAAAAATTATAGGGACGATGGGACACCATAATTTTCTCATCCTGTAACTCCTCATAGATAAATACTGTACACATGCACGCACGCATACACCCACACAAATGAAATTCGGTGTGAATAAATGCCATATTATATAATGTGGAATCTGAGAAAATAGACCATACACAACTTATAAATTATGTGGAAAGGAATTAAGGAACTCTTATAAAGAAAGAAATTTAGAGGTGGTTTTGGGTAGTAAACTGTCACCAGAAGAACACATAAAGAACATTGTGCGAGGGAGTGGATGCGTCACTTTCCAACTTGAGACACTCTTCTTAACTACATGGATGGTGATATACTAAAGAAATTGTTTAACTTTTGTTTGACTTGGGTGTGACCACAATTGGAATATGTAGCAGTTGAATGGTACCCATATCTCAAAAAGCATATCAACAAACTGGAAAAGGTGCAAAGGCATGCTACAAAATAGCTTCCGGAACTGAAAAACAAGAGTTACAAGGAGAGGCTAGAGGCGTTAAATATGCCTAAGCTAGAAGAGAGAATAAAAAAAAAAAAAAGAGGTGATATGATCACCACTCTTAAAATAATAATTGGAATTTACCAAATTGACAAAGGAATTCCTGAAACCAGCAACTTCAAGAACAAGAGGACACAGATTCAAGCTAAGGAAACAAAGGTGCCAAAAATATTAGAAAATTTTCTTTTTCAAACAGAATGGTAGACGGTTGGAAGAAGCCAAGTGAGAAGGTGGTAGAGGCCAAAACCGTCAGTAGTCAGTAGGACATGGTAAAAGACGTCGGCTCTACAGTACTCTGGATAATTTTGGAATAAGCTTTAATTACATGAATGAGAAATGCATGAACAAATTTTCTCAACCTATGAGACTAAATCAGAATACACATCAGTTGTATTATACCATATCTCAAAAGACATTAATAAATTAGAAAAGCAGTAAAGACATGCTGCTAGACAATTCCCAGACTTTAAAAACATGAGCTACTGTGGAAAAGTGGCTACTGTATACACATTCAATATGCCAAAACTAGTGCTTACCTATCAATAACTATGGAAGAATTAGATCTAACTCTTTATGCTGCTGCTGCTGCTGCTCATCATTTATACCTGGTTCACTATTATCTCTCTCAACATGAGTGATTTCATCTTTTTTTTTAAGTTATGGATGGAATTGGCTACAACTTCTTCAGTGCATTCCACTTTGTGACTATCTGTACAGGGAATGAATACTTCCTTACATCTTATAGAAGGAGGTATTCGTTTTAAATACATAACATTCAGAACAAGAGGGTCATAGTTTCTATTTAAGAAAGTAAAAGTTCAGATATACAGTAATACAGTATATTGTAAATATATTTTCTTTTGCAGTGCTAAATGGATGGAATAAATTAATTGAGATGGTACTGTACAAGTATATCAAAACCACAAAGAGCATAAAAAATCATATAACGATGATTATATAGAGATGGGACATCACAGGGTTAATTCTAATCCTGTAGCTGCACTTTAGTAACTAATCACACTTAGGCAATTACTCTCATTCCCACATCCCTCTTACACCTACTGTAATGCCACATATGCATCCTTACACCAACACATACTGTACTGCAACACATACCCACATATGTTCATCACTCATTTCTTCCATTTTTACATCATTCATTCTTTTCAAAATACAGGAGGCCCGCGATTTGTGTGGTAATGGATTATGCGGATTCGGAGTCACGCAGGTAAGCACTTTTATCCCAAGTTTCAAAGTGCACGGATGAATTTCGGAGTTATGCGGGTTGAGAATGGATTTCTGCGGATAACCCGCACTAATCGTTGGGTCTATCGCATTCTCGGCAGTGTCGCGCACCCACACACCCTAGTCTTTTGTTTTACAAACTTCATAGGTTTTATTTATGCATCATTACACATCCCAAGCATTCTGGACTTTATTGCTGGAAAGTACAAGATGCATTAAATACAGTACAAATGTTAAAGTCAGTATTTTTTTTTAAGTAAAGAGTGGAAAACTGTAGACTTTTGGAGTTTGGAACCTAACCTTTTCTTTTCTCACATTCCTTTAAGTTTGATTTGCGTCATCTGTTATTTGCATGGTTTTAAAGGAACATAACCCCCACACAAAATGAGGGCTGCCTGTACAGTACTGTATTATTATTTCTGGGAGGTCCCTTCAGTGGTTCCCTGAGATTATTAACCTTTAAACTGCACACCCACTTTTAGGTTGATTTCCAGGTGTGCATAAAAAATGTACACAAATTATTTTTCCATTCTATATGATGAAACATCTTTTTCTGATGCCTGGAAAAAATTCTGATCATTTTTATTTGGCCATAGTTTAAAGAAGAAATGTGGAAAATGTCAAATTCTGAGAATTAATTTTCAAGTAAACTACAGTACAATATTTATAATAGATTTCTCATTATCACAAATATTTTCCTGGGCCATAACAATGCTTGAAATTGTGTATACAGTAGCATCAGTATTTGCTACCATAGGTGTCAGTAAATGATTGCTGATGCACCTGACATGGTACCAATTTGTTTAATAATCCCCTAGAAGGCAACTAAGCCTTTCAAGGTTTTTTCTGAATATAATAAATGACTGTCAGAGATCCCTAGTGTTGAATTACTGTTCATTCACATAGAATCTCTAGGAATTTTGAATAATATGAAGCACATTAAATCTCTCATAGCAACAGGAGCACAGTCAGTCCATCTCTTGAAGGTGCCAGGAGCAGTTTAAGTGTAAACCTTGGTACAGTAATATCAAGCCTTAGCCCAGAGCACCAGGCCTCCGAGACCCCATCAGTCGCATACCGCAAACCAGGACCAATATCTGCAGAGGATCAGAGATCAACCACACACCTAGGGAACTCCACCAGGAAACATAGACACAAGTGACTGAAGGAAATAAGGCATCCTTAAGTAAACAAGGCAAACAATCAATACTGCAGCATAAATATCTTGATTGTGATGTGCCCGACTGCCACTTGGTGGCAACCCAGGTCACCTGAGGTTCCGTGTCAGCCTGTCCCCTCACTCTTCCATCTGGTGTTGTCAGCTGGGCCCATGACCTCATACTTGCTACTCAGCTAATTGGTGCTGGCTTCCCTGGAACATTAGTTCCACTATTCACCATTGCTTTGTATTTATTTATGACTTATGATTGTGTTAACACCACCTACATTGCTTGTGCTGCAGCACTGCATTGCACTCTGACCATGGCTAGGGTTACTTTTCCTGGTATTGGCTTGTATTTCCTGCTCCAGAAGGTTTCAGGCTACATACTCTTAATAGCCAATTCTTCAGTCAAAATACCTCCGGGTGGTGCACAAGATTTATTCTTCCCTTTGGGGCCTCTTGATCTGGACAAGACATTTTTCTCATTTCATAAAAAAAAGAATATATATAAATAATAATAATAATACATACTCTTTGTGACCTTCAGCCTGTGGATGTTGGGAGCCTTGTACTTTAGCATCATCTGTGAATCACTGCACGTCTTCCATCGGCGATGTGTGCCCAGCATGTCTGCCTATCTGTATGATAGTTCAGCTGGCTAGAGTTTCTCATTATTATGATTTTTGCTAAATTTCCCCAATTTTATGATTAATCTGTATTCCGGTCCTGATTAACCACAGATGTCTCGGAGGCCTGGTGCACTGGGCTAAGGCTTGGGGGTACCAGAATTAAACTTGGGTAGCCACTTTATGCCAACCAGGAAGTGGTGTTTCATTACATTCATCACTTGATGATTGTATGTTGACATACCTATTTCCATTTCTGCTATAATCCGATAATATTAGCACTAAAAAATTCACATTTATTCCATTAGTGAGCGTCTTAGGAATGTATCCCTTATGAATAGCCAGGGATGCTACTGTCTATATCTTATTTTAATATTATTTATTTTTATTATTTATTATAGTATACACACTTTATCAAATATATTATTAAATAAACATTACAAAAGAAAATTGGGCAGCTGGCTCCATTTGAATAGTCTTAGCTTTTGTGGAGTGTCCCGGGTGAGTCAGGTTAGGTACGGGTTTGTTCTGTTGAGGGTACTAGTAGGGTACTAGTAGGGTACTAGTAAGTACTAGTAAGTACTAGTAGGGTACTAGTAGGGTACTAGTAGGTACTAGTAGGCTATGATGACTAGTTAGAGAAATGTGTCATAGGGTTCCTTTCTATTATAAATTATATTGACTTCTGCTTGAACTGACAGATTCATATTGAACTCTAGCAATAAATCTTTGTTGAAATTGACTACATTTTTGCTCTTTTTATACAAAACATTACTGTGTTGCACAATGAAATAACAATAGTTTGACATATGAGAAAATCTACAGTTTGTGGAATTGAAATTTTCTCTCCGATCACTCCAGATGTCCACATTACCTTCTAGACCACAGTAGTTTATGATGCTTTTAGCTCATCTTTGTCATCTCATTGAGCATGCAGGCATCTGGGGTGACCCGGCATGCATGTTTGATTACATGCACTGCTTTAAAGCTGGAAACAACAGTCAGATAAAACAAACCTAAGCCACTGCTTCAAGAAAATAAGCAAAGTAGCATGCGCCATAATTCTATGAATTCACACACACACGCATACCTACTCACAAAACAAACAGACATCACAACTGCAAAAAAAAATGACAAGTTGGGTGACAAGTAGCTTTCAAACAAGATGCCTAACCATTGGTGGTATTTTTTAATACAGTGCCTTCTAGGGTGGAATACTGTTATGCAGAAACAACCCCATTCACAGGTGAAGTTCCTGCCTTGGAGAATATGCAGAGGATCTTACTTCATGAATCTATTCAATAAAACACCTAAATTATTGAAAACATTTAAAATTTCAAAATCTGTATTCTCTGTAGAGTGTAGAAGAGATATGTAATAATTTAAACTTGAAAAATATTAGAGATTGGTTTCAAATCTGCACATGGAAATAACTCGTCATGAGACCAGAAAGCATGACAGGAAGTGCAAAATAGTCCTGATGAAAAGCAGAGGTACAGTAGGTATACCAGAAAAGAATTCTATCAATATTAAAGGATCAAGACTTTTCAGCACTCTCCTTCGAAAAATATGGGGCATAACTAGCCAATTATTGAAAAACATTTAAAATTTCAAAATCTGTATTCTCTGTACAGTGCAGGAGAGAGAGATATGTAATAATTTAAACTTGAAAAATATTAAATTGGCTTCAAATCTGCACATGGAAATAACTCATCATGAGACCAGAAAGCATGACAGGAAATGCAAAATAGTCCTGATGAAAAGCAGAGGTACAGTAGGTATACCACGAGAGAATTCTATCAATATTAAAGGATCAAGACTCTTCAGCACTCTGCTTCGAAACATATGGGGCATAACAAGCCAATTTCTCACTGTTCAAGAGAGGACTTTATAAACATTGCCAAAGTATACCTGATCAACTGGGCTGTGATTCATACATAAGAATGCAAGTAGTGGTGTTCAACAGCTAGGTTGACCAAACCACCAACCAGGAGGCCTGATCATAGACTAGGCCAGGGGATCATTGACTGGGGATATTGATTCCCAGAACCAACAACAGGTAGGCAAGTAAATCACAATTATCTTATTACTGAACTAGAATTCACTTGTATATTAGTTTCCAGTAGATCAAGGGCCATTAAGCAGGAGCTTGCTGTATTTGTTTCATTATCCATTAAGCAGGAGCTTGCTGTATTTGTTTCATTATCATCTACACATAATGCAACATTATTCACACAATGTTTTTTTTTCTTTCCTATAGTAGTTCTGCATTTAAAAGTTTGTCAGCTTATAAACAAGCATATTACAGTATATAAGGCATAGATGACTTTACTTGTGCATTAAAATAAAGGAAGACAGATCTATGTTCACTGTTAAGTATATACTGTACTAGTACTTGTGTAACCAATCTGCATTTTAAAACATCTTGTTATTCATGTGATTATACTGGGTGTCATTGCATATCATGGGAAATCTGATAACAATTACATAATGTAGAGGAAAGTCAGTTAAGCATGATACCAGTAAATGCTTTCAGCAGACACTTTAATACATGCATAACTATGTGCATAACAGCACCTTTGAAAAGATAAGTCTGTTTACCATTATTGGTGTGTGTGTTTGTCTCGGTCTGATCAAACTCTCTGATGGTGATAGGTACGGGGGTTGTTACCGTGCATCTCCGCCATTAATTAGGGAGGGGGGACTCGATATCTGTATAAGATATAAGTATGCTCGATGTCAGTATATTTGGGTCCTGGGTAATGTAGTCAGGTTCTTGACTTACAATCGGGAATTATAGTTTCTAATCGCAGGCGGGATAGAAATGGTTGGGTGGTTTTCCTATCACCTATTGCACCTGTTCACCTAGCAGTAATTAGGCACCCAAGATTTAGTCAGCTTGTTGTGGGGTTTCTTCCTGGGGGGGAGGGGGGTCAGTAATTTGACCTTGTGGGGGTAACCTCGATATAAGCCAGATACATACACCTGTATATACATACACTGGCTGCCTGTCTTCCAACAATGAATTACAGTATATCAACATTTTTACTCGTAGCCGTTTTTATTGGTCTAGTGGAGATACTGTAAAAAGTTGAGGGTTATCATCATGTGACGCATTTGGCATTATCAATACTAGAACTGCTAGTACTGCTCTTTATTAACCTCAGACTTGAGTAGTCTTGTTACCGTGGTAGT